CAATGAAGATGTGATACGAGGATATATGAAATGTGAATAGCCCAGGGCAGAAGGAGTGATACCATAACTGTTTAGCACACGTTTGGGCAAATGATCGGCTTCACTTGTCTCTGACGAGTTGTTGTGTGGTGCTAAGCCTGGCAAGACTCACTGACGATGATGACGAAACGTATGGGAATGTAGCAATTCCACGGTCCGACACTGGAAATGACTATGCATACAAAGGAGTCCGGACTAAGTGTGTTCCTCTAAGTCTTCCTACCAATATGACCAAGTTGCGAAAGCGAGGTCAATCAACTTCTATACAACGAAAGGAGCCTGCCACCACACAAAAGGTCACACCATTTTGGTCTTCGCACCTTCTACTTACGAGTACTTTTGTAATTCCCATCTCTATCTAATTATTTATGTTTTCTTCAGGACCATGAATTGAATGTTTTTACAATGGTTAAAGGCTTTCTCAGATTGTCAGATGTAGTTTAACTGACTGTGTTCAATGGATTCTTGGTTATTTCGTTAATTCCCAAAAGTCTACCAGATACTCTCTCTCAGAAGGGTCGGGATATCGTGATCCTGGATGTACTACACCTTTCACTCACAACCAGGCAAAAGTACAATAAATGTTACACTGACGAAAATTCATGCAAAGTTTTGGATGCCGATGCCATTAGAATAACACTATCATCACACAAATAATATTCTCGTGAAGTAAACGCTTGCAAACTTTAACACGTGATGCAAGATACAGCAATTCTTGGGCAGACTAAAGGGGCTTAAGTGTGCTATTGCTGTTATTCTGCTAATAATTGTATTGCTTTGTCTACTCACATCGGCGAGAATTTAAAGCGTATTAAAAAGATTTACGGTAACTATTTTAATTTCAATAGAGCTACTAATAATTCCAATATATAAAGTGGTGGGCATAATACTGCTTCATAATTTAAGTAGCATGAATTAAGGATATGCAAAAATGCTGATTTTTTTATCTACACTAACTCTGGGCAAGATAAATTAGGACACTTTTATTCATTAAGCCTACGCTGGTCAGGGGCTGAAAGTTGTTTTGCTAAAGAGATTCCGCAGAAAATCCAGCCTGCTTTTATTCCCAACCTTCGTTTTTGCCCTCCTGAGACTGGAAAGATGACATCTCTACACAAGATGAGAGTCAAATATGTTGTATTCTTGCCATATTAAACCGGTTGACTTTATGTTGGAGTACTTTTCAACTCGTCTGAGGAGACGAGTCCAATGAATCTGTACTGAGCTTTCCTTCGTCACGTGGCAATCCTCGGCTCTCACAGCTCCAAATCAATCTTTCGCTGGCTTCTGGTCATGTCAAACTTACGAATTCCTTCAATCCGCCTCGTGAGACGAAATAAAAGGCATGCCAACATCAACCTATTAGGGAGTGCCTTGACAACCAGTTTTTCTGCATACTTTTGGTCCTATGCCTAGTTCAACTTGATTGTTTGTCGGATTCGTGTTTGAGGAAGGTAAAGAGACGATAAACTAGTAAACTTATCCTGATCCCTCTACTCCACGGATTGAAATGAAGAAAACGCCGAACAACCTTCAAAGGAAAGCACACTTGGGCTAGATTGACTTGAAAGCTAAACACTCGAACCATCGAACCGGATGGCGGTGAATGAGTGGAAAATTGACAAATCGACGTGAAGTGAAGACGCCTACGACGAAGAGTAGCGGACTCGATGAGTCGTTTCTCGAAGGGTCCTTGATTTGATCAAGACCTTGGTCAGAGCCCCTTTGGCCGAGGGAAAAGAGAAAACGCCAGGCGAACGGCAGTTGAAGAAAAAAGAAACAACAAAAATAAGAGCTCGAGTCTTGTCGACAAGAGTGCCTACCGACGGTTGGATCCGCGAAGGCCAGCAGCCCAGCCAAGCAGACGAGCAGACGGAGAGGCATCCTGAACAGACTCTGACGGGGGCCGATTTTAGTTGCGCTTGATGCGGCTTGCCGCTTTGGTCAATTTATCTGTGATCAAGATTCATACTTGAAGGATCAAAGTCTAGCCGAGCCTAGGGATCACCAGACAACCAGACAAGTGTGTTTGTCTGTCTCGTCTTGCTCGCCTAGCGACAAAATCGATAGGACCGATTGTACACCCTGTCTACAGTTTGGTGTTGTCAGGGCGTCAGCCGTACTACTTGCTCTACTCACCGTTTTGGTAGCGTTTACGCCAAATTGACTGCGGTGACAACCTCCGCGGATGATCAGCTGACCAACGACGGCTACGGGAGCCGGCTTGGGCAAGTTTTGCTCTTCCGTACGGACAGAGCCGAATGAATTATGATTTCTTTGCAGATCGCAGAGGTGATTAGACCGTAAATGGAGTATTATTACAGCAAAGATATGAAGATCAAAAAGGTGTGCCCCCCTCGGTATGGTCGCAGTTTCCTCTCGATTTATACAAGTGGATTGACCTCGTTTTCGGAACTAGGTCTTGTTGTCAGGGCGACTTGGTTGAACGCACATTGTCCATAGTAGTCATCATGATTCCCAACATCAGACCGTGGACTTGGTACATCTCAGACGTTTCACCGACATCGTAGTCTTCATTATCTGTGCGTTTGTAGCTTGGAGCGGAGCATGGCCGGCGAAGCGTTTGAAAATGTGCCAAGTCCACGGTTTGATGCTGGCAATTATGATGACTACTATGGCAGAGGACTTTGAACAATGTGCGTTCAACTAAGTCGCCATGACAACAAGACCAAGTTCCGAAAACGAGGTCAGCCCACTTGTATAACAATCCTCTCTTAAGTGCCCAATTCAAGCGAATTATGTCGACATCCAATAAAGCCAACCGCCTCGAATCTTCTACTTCCATTCAGAATTTGATCCTTTCGTCAATTTGCTTTATCATCTAATTGTTCAGTTGCATGCTATCGAAGTAGAAAGTAGCCAACCGATTATCGCTTGTACACTTTTGCTTGCAGCGTTAAAGTGTAGAAATACTTGAAGATGTGAAAACCAAGATGTTGTGGCCTCGGGTGTGGTCGCAGTCTCCTTTCGACTGATAGAAGTGTGTTGACCTCGTTGTCGCGACTTGATATTGTGTTCAGGGAGACTATGTAGAACGCACCGAGTCCGAAGTCGATGTACGAGACAATGAAAGTATCCGGATTGGAGGCCCGAGTGGGATAAGCCACAAAAGGCACACATTTGGATGATCGAAATGAGAAGTTGTGATAGGACGGCAGTGGGATAAGAGGGTAAAGAGTAGATAGATAGACAATGACAGAGTAGGAGTTAGGACGGCAGTGGGATAATAGGGTAAAGAGTAGATAGATAGACAATGACAGAAAGAGGAGTGATAGTGTGAAATGAAAAGTTGTGATAGGACGGCAGTGGGATAAGAGGGTAAAGAGTAAATAGATAGACAATGACAGAAAGAGGAGTGATAGTGTAACGTTTGCCAGTAGAACGGTTGTCAAGGGATTGACTTCACTTGTCTCTTTGACGAGTTCGTATCTTGGTGCGGAGAATGGCA